TGTGTGTGTGTGTGTGTGTGTGTGTGTGTGTGTGTGTGTGTGTGTGTATTCATATGCGGGTCATTGCAGCCAGCTGTGAATATCTGCAGCCGGCTTCCACCATTCATTTTACAAATACATTCACCAGAAAATTTTCATGATTTCTTTGTGCAGTAAAACAAATCCCTGAATGAGCTTTGTTCATACCAGATATTTGCATGTGAACTCTTGAGAAGGATAATAAATGGTCAAAGTAAACACATCACAATGCCCCGTTTCCTGTCTCGGCTTTTGTTTCCCCTCCACCCTTCCAGGGTGCATGCATAGCTCTGGGTGTAACCTTTCTCTGCCGACACTTCAGTCCCTATAAATCTCTCTTGTGTCTGCTGCAGGTGACTCAGGCCTCCAAGGTGTGGGGAGAGGTGCCTCTGCCAGAAGACTTGGAGGGGGAGAAGGACGTCCAGGCGTCTCGGAGCTTACTGGACGACGACGAGGACTTTGCTGCTGATGAAGCTTCAGGAGGTGGGCTTGATAGAGGCTGGATGACCCCAAACCACAGCAACAGCTGCCCTTAATTCACGGGAGATGTTTTTCACTACGCATTCCTTAGATTGCTAACCCCCGTCCCAAAACTGAAACCGAGGGGAATGCAGCTCGGAGATATGTAATGAAATGATTTCTTTGATGATTTCATCCTAAATATGAACAACGACGTGCAGGATTCACTCTTTTCAGAAGGAATTTAGAGCAGATTGTATGGTGTACTTGTTACATAAGTGAGCAGAACATTTGATTTGTTTTCTCGCTTTGAACCAGCACATTGACCGTTTCCCTATGAACCTCTGTTTCTGTCTTCAAAGAGCTGCCCAGTGGAGAGGATGATGGAAGCACGCCATGGCTTCAAGTCCCTGAGAGCACAAGTAAGGGACCTGAGCATCGAGTGAATCCAATTGTTGTTATTGTGGCAGATTTTGCCGATGTGCGGTAGATCACTCAGGCCTCTAAAGCTTCCTTATCTGTGACTCCAACTTCAGTGGCTGTGTGTGTGTGTGTGTGTGTGTGTGTGTGTGTGTGTGTGTGTGTGTGT